GCGTGACAACTAAGAATTCTGTGCTTAAGTAATGAATTGTAGAATAAATTATGCATTTGTCAATCCTTTTTGCTAACATGTTGTCATATCTATGTCGGGCAGAGTGCAAATCCCGAGGCTGAACGGCCTTTGTACAAGCACACACGCTTCTTAGCAGGGCAAAGCTATGAGCTGATTTTGTCTCCATCTGTCATTCTGCAATTCATTTCATGTAAACAATAACATGGCGCACAGAATGAGGTGAAAAAAGGCACATACCTTTGGCGTTGCGTGATCCACTCTGTATTCCTCGTCCACACATAGTCTGAAAAAAACCTGAGTTTTCGGTGGTTCGGCGCGCCATTTACGTGTGGACGAAAGGCCCAAATGCATAGAAACAGCTGCGTTTTCAAAAATAAACTTGTAATGGTGGACGTAGCATAAAAGAGTTAGTAGTTTATTTTATTACTACCTTTAATTTATTGCAGATTAGTTGTATTTGCTTAATTGTTTACTAAATATTTGAGGTGTGAAATAAACCGCAATGTGGCTGGAGGATATGTTTGTGCGCGCAGGGGGCCTAGCAAAAAACGTTTGGGAACCACTGATCTAATTGAACATACGCAAGACAACAATTTATAGACATGCACACTATACCTATCTAAAGTAACCCATGTTACTTTTTCACTCGTGAAAACAAGTAACACGTGAGTGTGCTGTTTAATGCTCCTCCTTCATCAACTCTTTCTCTCTGCACCCTGCAAAGCACACAGGAAGTACAGAACAAATATAAATACAAGACCTTATGACTAAATCAAAAGAATAGAAATGGATTGCAGTGGTGCTGTGTTAAAGTATTAAATTGCAGTGTTAAAGCTTCAAATACAGACACCACCCAGCAGTTACTGAGTAAGTGTGTTTTGGGTTAATCTTATTTATTTAATAGCAGCATTGTTCCATATACAGCTCACATGATTAGAAACTCTTAATGTACTCTTAGTTAAAGAGCACTGGCATGTCGCAGCATGTTTTTATAGAGCTGACCGGCATTCGGGTGATTTAGTTTTATGGACTTGAACTTCGATGTCTACAATGTCTACAACCAGTGTTTCCAACGTAACACAAAACAATTTAATCACAACAGCACTGACTTTCACAGAAAGAAGGGGAGGCAGTTTAATCAATGGTGTTCTGTATATAAGGGTTGGATTAGTGCAAGAGCTGTTACTGGTGGAGCAGTTTAAGAGCACTGTGCCTGAAATCAATTCACATATGTATACAGTGGCTTGCAAAAGTATTCGGCCCCTTGAAATTTTCCACATTTTGTCACATTACAGCCACAAACATGAATCAATTTTATTGGAAGTCCACATGAAAGACCAACACAAAGTGGTGCACACGTGAGAAGTGGAATGAAAATCATACATGATTCCGAACATTTTTTACAAATAGATAACTGCAAGCCACTGTGTGTGTAGTGAGATCTCTTATGTCATTTGATACGGCCAAATGGATTTAGACTCACTAAAAAAGTGAAATGAGTAATGGGTCCAGAGGTGGGCCCATTTTACAAAAACTCTTTAAATGCTTGTAACTTCATTGCCATTTGAGCCAGACAGAAAATACAAATGTTTCCTGAAAGACCAGAGTTGTTTTAGTTATTATTTCACAAAATATAAAATAAATACATTAGGCCTTACATAACCTTAGTCCATGTAGGGTTAGGCCACTTTACAGGGCATCTACAATATAACACAGACATCATAACAATCAGATGATCAGGATAATGGCTTATCACCACTCTAAGATGATCAGTAGTGAAACAGGCTGGCCTTCTCTGAACTGCTGCCTATTTGCTTCTGGTCCTTCTGATGAGCAGCAGGATCATGGGTGGTGAACTGGATTTGCAGCAGTTTCTCAGTTTTTACGGTTCCAGGCAATTTCTCTTGATGCAAAGTACATTCTTACTGGTGTATCCATAACCATGGCTTACTGCACACAAAGAGATGGAATTAGTTATAACATATACGCAGTTGTGGTGCCTACAGCCCTACAGAAGAGGAACTAGCATCTTTAAGTGGCAGGCGATTTCAAATGCAGCGTTTCTATCAGCCCAGCAAACACACAAACTGTTTTTGTTTTTGTGGGGTTTTTTCTTTCAAATGTCCTAATGAGGAGCTACTTTTTACTTTATTATTTTTAATACATTTCCAAGCCTGTACTTTCAGTAAAATAACTTCAGTAAAATAAGTTGCCAACGTTAAAAGTACTTTTTGAAAAGTACTAATGTATTGAAATCTGTATTAACTGTCCACTCTTTAGTATTCATCACATATTATCTGCAATATAACACCACTGTCTCAGTCTTACCTCTTGTAATACAGAATAAAAAGCGTCATCTGGCACAAGTTGATAGACATGTGACGAAGTTCTTCTTGCAGTGGACTTTTCTGGTTCTGTTTTGACAACAGAATTAAATCAGTCGACAGAACCAATTTCTACTCAATAAAACATTTATATTGCCTTACATTATTATACGTTAATTGATAATGTATTTAATAGTGGTTGATCTGAATACAAATGGCTTTTAACAAGTCATAACAAGTCTCACCTTCATTTACTTCAGCGTACTCCTCTTCTACGAAGTAGTAACAGGGTCCAGAAGACAATCCATCTTCATCTAAAGGAGACAGAGTGAGAGTAAAGTGAGGATATCAATATGTTGAAATCAATGAAGAAAATCTGTATTTTTGGTTAATTATGTCAAATTTGACATTTTAGAAATGCCTAATATACATATAAGGCAATACCTGCAGTTTTATACATTTTTATGCTACATTGTTTTTGTCTTTTCGAAATGAGTAAGATGATTGAATATTGATTATATCATGTTCCTATTCTTGTTTTGTTTAATTTAGATTATTCTAAACAGAATACAACATTTCACTCTATGCCACTTTTAGTTTTGAGCTGTACAAAGCAAATTCACACCTCTCACTCTAGATGCGCGTCTAAAATACTTGCTTGAACTGTATTAGCACTGTGGTTTTTATTTGAAGCACAAGTCCAGGAAACTCATGTTCTCACCACCGCCTACACATTTAGCAATAACAGATACACATCACAAGAAAGGGTAAGGCAATACCAGACAAACAAGTCTTGTTTGACTTCATAAATCAAATTTGGAATAAAAGTTATATCAACTTAAATTCTGTTAGTGTAAACTTAACAATAAGTTATTTTTTAACAGGAGATAACTATAATTTACATGACATTACCTGTTTTTTTCCTGTTTTTATTTACAGTGGCGTATGTTGCTCTGCTTGCATTAGGTGCACTGGCCTCTGTGATTAAAAAAACAACAACATAATACATCAAAAGACAACAGTAGTCTTGAGACAAAATAGTCTAAACAGAGTTTTTTTTATGTCAGGACATTTAGCTTCTGTTTTTCACAATTAAAAATCTTATAATGTATATTACTTTAACCAAGTATTTATTTCATGTTGGTCAAAAGGACACAAGTTTTTATTTATTATTACAATAACAAATAAGAGCACATCCTAATAAATAGTTCTTGTCTTTTTCTGTGTGGTGCCTGTTAACGCTTGGTTTAAAGGACTTTATAGGTTCCAAAAGAGAGTAAGTTAAATTATTTTTGCATAGTTAAGTCTTTTGCAGGATGCCATACACATGGGTAATTAAACAGTGTTTGTGTTCTGACCTGTTTGACGCTCTGTTGAATCTGAAGTACGCACCTTAGTTGACAGATAGAGCAGTGCTATAGCACAAGGAAGAAAAACAACGTCACCAGTGAACAACAAAGAAAAAATAAAGGTGTTTTTAAAACTTTAGACAACAACAGTGCTATGAAAAAGTTATGAGCCACTGCTTTTTCTTTGTATTTTGCTAAAAGAATTTGGAAACAGTTGAGGCAATTTACTTAAATGTGTAAAAACATACATGGAAATGTAGTGTAAAAGACAAAAAAAGAGTGTGTTTAAAAGTCGACATTTAGTATAAGCACCTTTATTCTTGAACACAGTCTAAAGTTTCTTAGGAAAGCTTCTTTGTAATTTATTTAAGTAGTCTTCAGAAATAGTTCTGAAGACTAACTGAAGAGACAGATTAATCATTCAGGTCTTTGTTGGATCTTATCATGATTCTTCATGACATGACTTTTAAGTACTTTCCATTTGCCGTTGATCTGGACTTTTCCAAAGTACTGTATGCCTTTTGAGAATTTGAAAACAGCAAAACAATGAGCACAAAATTCTACATGAAATGTAATGTTTGTTATTTTCTTTACCTCTGTCCCAGTGATCTTTCCCAAAGTGACGCAGTGCCCCCACCACCAACACAACACTCAATAAAACAGTGACAATAATCCAAGGTGTGGCAGGATGGCTTACATTTTCGGAACTATCTGTAAATATATTTAAATATATTTGTAAATATGAATAAAGTCGTTTAATTTATCTTTTGAAAAAATTGGAAAAAATGCAAAAAAAAAGGTCAAACAGGAAGATGAAAATCAGTCAGAGGGTATGTGAAAGTTTAGTACACCTGTTCCATTTGCTTAAAGTGTACCTTTAATACTGCACACTGGAAATTCCACAGTATTTCAAAAAGCTACAGATTTGAATGACAGCAGTCAAATGTATCTATGGGATTTATTTTAAAACTTTGTTGTTTCTCACCTGTGTTCTGACCTGTGACATTCAGCCAGCTCACTGGTGACTCTCCAGCTCCTGAAATGCTGCATTTGTAAAGTCCTTCATGAGAATATAAAACTCTGCCGATGGTCATGTATCCTGTGAAGCTCTTCCTGATGAGGATTCCATCTTTGTAGAAATCAGCTGTGAAGTTGGAGGAAGTTGTCTTGTTCCTGCAGCTCAGAGTCACAGTTTCTCCCTCCATCACAGGAACAGCAGGACTCTCCAGGATCACAGGACCAGCTGAAAACCAACATGTATAAATCTATTCAATGATGTGTTTGATTATGACAACATAATGCTTACTAAATGGAAACTTACCAATAACAGTGATGTTGATAATGTTGCTTTTCTCCCCTCCTCCAGTCTCACATATGAACTCTCCACTGTCTTCTGTATAAACATTTTTTATA